TCGTAGCCTAGTGGTTAAGTGCGCGCACTCCAATGCTGGCGGCCCGGGTTCTCGGGTTCAGATCCCGGGCGCGTACGATGCGCCGCTTGTCAGGCCATGCTGTGGCGGCGTCCCATATACAGTGGAGGAAGATGGGCATGGATGTTAGCGCAGGACCAATCTTCCTCAGCAAAAAAAGAGGAGGATTGTCATGGATGTTAGCTCAGGGCTGATCCTCCTCGCAAAAAAAAGAAAAAAAAAAAAGGATCATACATTGACTTTGGTTGTCATCTCTCTTTTGTCTCCTTCAATCTAGAACTGTTCCCCAGCCTTTTATCCATTCATTCATTAAATTAATGGCTAGATTTTGCCTTTCACGACACAGATCTGTTTCAAGAGTCCAGGTCAGTTTTTTTTGCAGAACGTCCCTCAGTCAGGACGTGTCTGGTTGTCTCCTCAGGTTAAACACTTCTGGCAGGACGTTGTGTCCTCCTCAGTACATCACACACAGCGGGGGCACGTGAGGACAGCCTGTCCCATCACTGGTGATGGCAACTTTAATTCTCTGGTTAAGGTTCTCTGACTTCCAGGTTCATCCACTCTGCCTTTTCCAAGGTACCTTTTCCAAGGTACCTTTTCCCCATTGTTTTCAGGCATGCCTCGTGTGTGTGTGTGTGTGTGTGTGTGTGTGTGTGTGTGTGTGTGAGGAAGATTGGCCTTCAGCTAACATCTGTTGCCAATCTTCCTCCTTTTTCCCTTTTATCTCCCCAAAGTCCCAGTAGATAGTTGTATGTCACGGTTGTACATCCTTCTAGTTCTTCTATGTGGGATGGTGCCTCAGCATGGCCTGATGAGTGGTGCATAGGTCTGTGCCCAGGATCCGAACCAGGGAAACCCGGGCAGCCGAAGCGGAGTGCCTGAACTTAACAGCTACACCACCGGGCCGGCCCCTAGGCAGCCTCTTGAGCTATGAAATCGAGTAGGAAGTGCCTGGCACTGCTCTGTGCCCTTGGGCAACCCCCTCACCCCTCCCTCGGCACTTCCTCATCAGTCAAGGTGGATTCAGGCTCAAGATTCTGCTGCCCTGAAGCCTCCCATGCTGCCCTCTCCAGGTGTGCAGAAGCAGCTCAGATATCAGGGGCAAGCAGGGCAATGGCAGTCCCACACAGGGCTCTGGCCCAGCCCAGGCACCTGACTGCTCAGTGAGGAGGCAGAGGGCAGCAGAACAGGAAGAGAAGGACAATGGCTGTGCCTGTTGCCATGGCAGGCACCGTGTTTGCCAGCTGGGTGGGGCCAGCCAGGCAGCCCTCAGCAGCTCAGCCCAAGGCCCACTTTCCCACCTCACGTGGCACTCCTGCAGGCCCTGGCGCGGCTGGGGTGCACAGCAGCTCACTCTGGGGACAACAAAGACCCAGTCCTTCAATGAGGCTTGAGCAGGTTCTCAGCAATTAGAGGCCTCCAGGAACTACAAATCCCAGAACACACAGCGAACTCCAGGTCCAGCCCCAGCTGCCCAAGTGGCTGGCTTTGAACCAGAACAAGGAAATCTCACCTGTCCTGGGAACTGAGAGTCCTGGCCTGGGCGAGGTGCATTTGTGTCTTTGTTTCTTGGACGTGTTCCTGCCTGAGAAATCCCAGTTGCAAGCCAAACCTAGAGGTGGTATTACCTGGTCCTTTCATCCACACGTGTGCTGAGACCCGGCTCTGGGCCAGTCTCTGGACCAGGGCGGGGGGAACACTCGGATGGAGGAGACAGACTTATGAAGGGTCCCCTCCCTGAGGGCGGAGGCTAGGGTTAGCTGGGTACCCTTTGCAATCTAGCACATAGCATGTGCTCGGTAAGTATTTGCTGGTCTAACCAACAAGCGAGCAGGCCATCTCGCCCTTGTCCCCCATTCCATTGCACCCTTTCTTTGGTAGCTCCTCCGATATTGCACCACCCTAAAGCACGCTGGATCTCCCCATCCGGCCTCCAGGCCTTTGCAGGCACTGTTCCCTCTACCAGGAGCATCTTCAGCTTACTCGCTGAAGTGTCCCTAGAGACAGGACAAAGCCTGGCACGGAGCAGAGGCACATTAAATATTTGATGAGTGAATGAATGAATGAATGAATGCCCTTGTCCATTGTACACCCCAGGAAGCTGGGACACTCGGGACCCTCCCTATTCATTTCGTCCCCGGCCCGCCCGCCTGGAATGAATGCCTCCTTTTGTCCGCTCCCAGGATGGCCAGGCTGGGGCAGGGGCAGGCCCGGCAGAGGACCGGATTAGGGGCTGGTCTCCTAAAGGGTCCGCTTTTCCGGACTTCCGGAGTTCGCATCCCCTCCCCGGGGCTCAGCCTGGGTCACCTGGCTCCCACGGCCAGTCCCTCGCCCCTCACCCCCCCGTCACCCCAGACGGACGCTCAGCCGGCAGCACGAGGTCAGGGGCCCCAGCTTCCCACTGGTCGTACTCTCCTTCGCTCCCCGCGATGGGCCGGCCCGGCGCAGCTCCCCCTCCGCCGCGCGGTGGTACGGCCCGCCGCGGCCTAGGCGGGGCGGGAAGGTCCACTG